GGGCCTGGGTAACACCCAGCTTGTCCTCTGGGCAGCGTCTCTCTGGTGCGTAGCCATCTAAACCCAGCAGGATGTCCTTCTGGCTCCCCACCCTCTTCAGCTTCTGGTCCGGCGAGACCAGAACCCCTCCCACTTCCTGGCGTTCCTGCTCTGCTTGTGTTAAAAGTTCCCAAACAGCTCCCTAGCCACGCATTCAGTGTTGTTCTCCTACGCTGTGAGCCCAGGGAACGAGTGCTGCAAAGCAGAGGATGATTTCCCTAAAGCCTTGGTGAGGGGACAACTGTAAGATGCCCCACCCAGAGTACTGATGCTCTTGTCTACGATTTCTCCACACCCTCCTGTAAGAGGCAGTGTAACAGAAGTGTTGAGAGCACAAGTTTTTGGAATAAGACTTAGGCTGGCTGCGATGTTTTGTACTATGTGAACATTCAGTTCAGTTCAGTGGCTCAGTCGTGTCCGACTCTTTGCGACCCCATGAACCGCAGCATCACCAACTCCTGGAATTTACCCAAACTCATGTCCATTGAGTCATTGATGCCATCCAACCATCTCATCCTCTGTTGCCTCCTTCTCCTCCTGCCTTCAATCTTTCCCAGCATCAGAGTTTTGTTTTGCTTTGTATTTTTCCAATGAGTAGGCTCTTCATATCAGGTGGCTAAAGTATTGGAGCTTCAGCTTCAACATCAGCCCTTCCAATGAGTATTCAAGGTTGATTTCTTTTAGGAATGACTGGTTTGATCTCCTGGCAGTCCAAGGGACTTTAAGAGTCTTCTCCAGCACCACAGCTCAAAAGCATCAATTATTCGGTGCTCTGTCATCTTTATACTCCAACTCTCACATCCGAACATAACTACTGGAAAAGCCATAGCTTTGACCAGACAGATTTTTGAGGGCAAAGTGATTTCTCTGTTTTGTAATGTCCTTTTTAATACTCATTAAAAATTACACAATCTAAAAATATTTATTTTAACTTAACACATGCAAATGTACACTTATTAGCCAATTTTGTGAAATTTAAACCAAAGTCTTCTTCAAGTACAGTATCACCAATTGCACTTCTTAAATGTTTATCTTCCATAAACCTGTCACTGCCATCATAATGAGTGATTGTATGAGTGTGTGCTAAGTTACTTCAATCATGTCCAACTCTTTGTGACTTTACGGACTATAGCCTGCCAGACTCCCCTGTCCATGGGATTCTCTAGGAAAGAATACTGGAGTGGGTTGCCATGCCCTCTTCTGGGGATCTTTTTGGCCCAGAGATCAAATCTGCATCTCTTACGTCTCCTGCATTGGCAGGCGGGTTCTTTACCACTATCTCCACCTGGGAGGCTAATACATGGTTAATATTGTCCAATCCCAGTTTTTTTAGAGTAGAAAGATGGCTGAAGATCACTTTTATGCACAATCCTTCTTTTTAATACACACTTCTACCCCACCTTGTCTTTGACAGCTTCTGCTTCTGTGCCTGACTTAACGGCACTCTCTCTTTGACAACTCAGTCTCCAAAACATTTCCCTTCATTCTCATAAAAACAACCCTTTTTTGTGCTCTCATTTCATTGGCTCACACAGTATTTNGGCTTTCTTATCTCTCCTTGCTATTCTTTGGAACTCTGCATTCGAATGGGTATATCTTTCCTTTTCTCCTTTGCTTTTTGCTTCTCTTCTTTTCACAGCTATTTGTAAGGCCTCCTCAGACAGCCATTTTGCTTTTTGGCATTTCTTTTTCTTGGGGTTGGTCTTGACCCCTCTCTCCTGTACAGTGTCATGAACCCCCATCCATAGTTCATCAGGCACTCTGTCTATCAGATCTAGTCCGTTAAATCTGTTTCTCACTTCCACTGTATCATTGTAATGGATTTGATTTAGGTCATACCTGAATGGTCTAGTGGTTTTCCCCACTTTCTTCAATTTAAGTCTGAACCTTAGTTTAGTTTAATTTAATATGAACTTTAGTTTCCTCATTTTTGATTACCCTGATGAGCTCATGAGAGGACTGGGTGAAGTAATAGATCTTTTTAAAGTTTTTATGTTATACTAGAACATAATTGGTTAGCCATGTTGTAATAGTTTCAAGTGTACAGCCAAGTGTTTCAGTTAGACATATGCAAGTATCTATTCTTTTTTCAAAGTTTTGTCCCCCATTTAGGTTGTATATGATACTGAGTAGAGTTACCTGTGCTATGGGCTTCCCTGGTGGCTTAGCTGATAAAGAGTCTGCCTACAATGCGGGAGACCTGGGTTCAATCCCTGGGTTGGGAAGATCCCCTGGAGAAGGGAAAGGCTACCCACTCCAGTATCCTAGCCTGGAGAATTTCACAGACTGTATAGTCCACGGGGTCACAAAGTGTCAGACATGACTGAGCGACTTTTACACACACACACACCTGTGCTATACAGTAGGTCCTTGTCGGTTATCCATTTTACACAGAACAGTGTGTAATAATGGCAGTTTTATAATAAGGAACTACTGTGTCAGTCAAGAAATCATGACTTCTATTGAATGAATGCTATGTAAACTCAAAGAAACAAACTGATGCTGCTATGGAGCCCAGAGGAACAAATAAAAGCCTTCACTGTCTTCAAGAACACCCAGAGCAGGTACAACGTGTTCACTGCTAACACCAGGTAATACCTCTTTTCGCTTATATCTTATAGGCATTAAGCCAGAGGATCTTTGGTCTAAATTAGCGTCCAAGAAAAATACAGCGTGAGCCACTTAGGTAATGTTAAAATTCCCAGAAGAAATATTTAAAAATTAAAAGAAGCAAATAAGATTGATTACTTAGTTTATTCAAAATGTTATAAATTCAACACATACTCCATATTTTAAAATTCGAGATTTTATGTTATTTGCTTCATACCAAGTCTTCAAAATTTAGTGTATTTTGTACTTAAGCACATCCTAATGTAGACTTTCTTTGTTTCAAGTACTCAGTAGCCACGCATAGAGACTGCTTACAGTATTGGACAGTCCACATCCGAACCTTCCCTCTAATCAGCTGGGAAATAGAGATGTTTCTTCCTATGAGGCTGTTGGTTCTGGGAATCCAGAGCCAGAGCCTCTCTGAGGACCTTCTCACTGTGCATCTGACTCTTAATTGCTCTTGCCCATAAAGGAGCAAGTTGTCTGTGTCACTGAGTCCCAACCTTATTGACATGACCCTGAGAATAACAGTGTTTATATGACGCATGGAATCCCCCAGGTGGGGCGGTACAGTGTGTACTGGTGTGCTATGGTTTGCCAGTTGGGAAGCTCAGATCCAAACTTGCAAGGCAATCTGCACCCTGAGGTTTGTCTGGGGGAGGGAGGCAAGCTTTTTATTGCAATCTGTGCAAACATCCTTCTTATTGATCAAGTGCTCATGCTTAAGTAACACCTCCTTCCCACAAAGAATGAGCAAGTGGCCTCATGAGCTCAGGCACCCAGGCTGTTGCCGTCAGCAACTGGAGTTGAGCAAAGCAAGCTCCTCCAGCCGCTGAACCTTGGGGTCAGCTTCTCCCATGTGGTTGACAGTGGGGCCCAGAAAAGCACTGTGGCCACTCTCAGCAAAGCAGACAACAAAGCAGAAAGAGCTGGGGATTGCACAGCCAAAAGACCTGACCCGCTGACACCCCCCACCCTGTACCAGCCCAGCCCACCTTCAGCTGAGTGAAGCAAGGCTCTGTGTGGGAAGTGAACTCAGCCTCAGCAAGCACGTCCAGGCAGGTGGGAAGCCCTTCAGAGGAGGGGGAAGGGAGCCGTGGTTCCACGGCTGACTGGAGGTTCCTCCTCCTGCCCCCAATCCCTCCCAGCATCAGGGTCTTTTCCAATGAGTCAACTCTTCGCATCAGGTGACCAAAGTATTACAGTTTCAGCTTCAACATCAGTCCTTCCAATGAACATTCAGGACTGATTTCCTTTAGGATGGACTGGTTGTATCTCCTTGCAGTCCAAGGGACTCTCAAGAGTCTTCGCCAACACCATGGAATGAGTACATGGAATGAGTCATCCTCAATCAATGTACTTGGGCTATGGACTCAAGACTACCTGAACTCAAAATCTGCCTTTAAGACTTTGCCAACTCTTAGCCACGTGCCCTGGGTGAGTTAACTTGACCTCCCTTAGTCTTCCCTCTTCTGCAAAATGATAACAACCTCTTCATTGGACTGCTGTAAGATGAAATGAAGTACTGCAGACAGTTCAGCCCAGTGGGGCCCCATGGGAAGTGCTCAACAATATTCACAATCATCTCAAAGGCCTTCGGAACGGAGCTGGCCTGGGAACCTAGGAGCGCTCGCCTGAAGGTGCACTCTGAGTGCCATTAACCTTTTGGAACATCAGATAACCAAGGAAAAGGTGGGTATGGAATTCTGATAATCAGAAGTCAATCAGGGCAACTTTGTCGAGTTGAGGGAACTTTGTCCCTTCCTTTTCACATCTCAGTGGAAGGGAAAACTTTGAAGTCAGCTCTGCCATGTAGGAAGCTAAAGGTCAATCCATCACAGCTTACATTTCACCTACTTTGTACCATCGCACCCTCTGCCCTGTTGTCCAGCTGACTGCTGGGAGGGACACGACATCTCTTTCCTTTCTGATTCATCATTACTGAGTCAACATGAATAGGTTCAGCCTATAGCTCTAGGATTCTTCCCACTCAAGTATTCTTTGCCTAGAGAATTCCATGGACAGAGGAACGTGGCGGGCTACAGTCCATGGGGTGGCAAGAGCTGGACGTGACTGAGCGACTGAACCACCACCATAGCCCTAGGACTCGCTTGCTTCTCTTTTTTCTTGGGTCATATTGCCTGACTTCTAAAGTCTTGGATTAGCAGTCAAAACAGCCTCAGATCCTTCCTAGACAAGTGTTTGCCAGGCGCCACATGTCCCAGCTACTCCACCCGTCCTGCACTGCCCCTTCTCATCTCCAGCTTCCTTCTTCGCCCTCCCTCGGAATGCTGACGGAGAGCATTGTTGAGCAGCTATTCCGGAATATGAACCCAGTGAAGTGTTCTAAAGCACAGGAGCCAGAGATGCAAGATGACTCACCTATATTCTGAGGGCAGAGGCTTTATTCAAAGGAGAAATTCCACTTTCCTCTAGAGGGACTTAAAATTTCGGTGATGTCTGAAATCTGGAAATACCCCAAAGACCTTTAAATAATATTTGGTTCGCTGACTGATTCACACCTCCCAACCTGCTCTAAAACCTGCCTTGCCACCAAACCTGCTCCCGAAACAAGGTCTCTTTTTCAGGAACAAACTGTGAACCCCCCAGCTTTGCAAAATAGCCCAAAAATACTTTTTAAAAACATGCTTGGCCCCACCATCATCATCATCTTCTTAGGAAGGTAATGTGCCTGCTCTGAGCCTTCTTTTCATCTGTACAAATAACTACCTGGCAGATTTACTGTGAGGGCCAAATGAAGTCCTTGTTATGGAGCTTGGCTCCTGGTGGCCCCTGAACGTGGTGTCCCTCCTTATCCTTCACGGGTTTGATAAGAGTTAGTCTGGAGGTGTTTTATAAATTGAGAGGCGCTATATAAATGCAGATGCATTTATATGATGCATTGTAAAGTTGGCCTGCTGAGAAGGTCTGGCTTTCCCCACTTTAAAAATACAGGAAACTTGGTTTCTTCTTCCAACGACCTGCCAGCCCTATCACATAAGGTATCTTGGCTGTTTCCAGACTGTGTTACAAAACTCTGGAATGTTGGCTTCTGGTCTTCTGGAACTGTTGTAAATGAGATGTGTGGTTTCTTTGTCCCTACAAAAGGGGAAAGAGGGTACACCACTCCCCTCCCACTGAGCAGAGCAGCCAGAGTGTGTCAGAAATACAGCTATTGGGTCAGATGCCTTACCTCAGACAACTAACCCATGAAAAACATAAAACAACGAAGATTTGCACTTTTTAGAGGCAATGGGATGCCTGGACCAGCAAGGGGCTTGGTTTTTATTGATTTCTCAATGCAAATGGCTATATGAAGGGAGACATGGAGGATGTTGCAAAGCATTATCGAACACGTGGGTTTTTGAAGATAGAGGCTGTAGGAAACCATATTCGATCTGGAAACAGTGTGGCCTGCTAGGCAGTGGAAGCCTGGGTTCGGGACTCCCCTCTCCTTCTAAACTGATGACTCACCCTAGCTGGCTGCTTCACCTTTCCAGGTCTCAGGTGCCCTGGAGAATAAAGTTATGGTTGTTAGATCACACTCATACCCACATGGGTCATCCAGCTGGGATGCCAGCACTGATTTACATAAAGAAGAGTGAGAGGCAATACTTCCTGCTGGTGTCAAAGGACCCTCCTGGTCTTGGCTCCTCTCTGGTCTTGGGTGTCACCTCTCTTCTAGGGCACGTCATGAGTTCCACTCTGCATCAAGTTGTCCTCCCAATTATAGGGTCACCAGAGCCAAAATGACCCTATGCAGTCCAGTAGTTGAGACTTTTTAACAGTCCAGTAGTTGAGACCATGGGAGATGGGGTGGCTGCTCAGAGCAGTGGTGGTCCAGGTGTGTCCCCAAACCAGCAGCCTCCACATCACCTGGAATTGTTAGTGATGCAGATTCTAGGGCCCTGACCCAGGCCCTGACCCACTGAGTCAGAAATGCCAGCATGGGCCCAGCCATCAACATAACAAGCTCTCCAGGGAACTGTATGGCTCCCTGGAGTATGAGAACCACTCAGAGCATCATGCTTTCCAGCAAGTGTGATGTCAGGAGGTGTTCAGTCGGTTGCTAATTAACACAAGTTGACATCACCCCCATCACCCCAGCTCCCATTGAACTGTATCTTTCTCTAAGCTACCTCTTAGAAGACTTTTTGTTTCTGGTCCTAGGGCAGGCTTAGGGCTGCGGGGCAAGAAGTGAGTCTGTGGAGTTAATGTGCCGACAGCCTGGATGAGATTCTGGCCATCTAAGACCTCTTACTGTTAATGAGGACTTGACGACTCCTCCAGGCTGAGTCAGCAGGAAGTGCTGCTGGCTTCTGATTTAGATATTGGTCACCTAACTAAATTCAGTGAGAAGAAACCTAATGCAGCATTTCCCCGAATTTCTGCAGGCCTGATACTCAGAAAGCGTTCAAGTATTTGAGGTCTGCTAGTGGTGAAACGAACATTTAGCAACCAAGCTGCACCATGCAAAGGCTCTGTGGTGGTGGTCTGTGGCTCTGGGTCAGGTCTGGCCATGACTGCTAACCAACTGCATGATGGTGGGTGATTTTTTTCACCTGAAAAGGCCTCATCGGCCTCACCTATAAAATAGAAATCACTCTCCAGAGTTGCTTGCGTGCCCATCCAGCATTTTTGCTTAGTGATGATGCCTTGCAGTCTCAAAGATTTTGGACTGGAGACTGGTAACTAGTGACTTTAAAATGGAAAGAGAGAGGAGGATAGGCTGAACTGTGATGCCTTAGCAACCCTGCTTCTTCAGTGCTCGCTCAGCTGTGGGTGGTGCAGGCTATACCCATCATTCTGGGTTCTAAATCCTACCCAGCTATGCCTGTCCCTCTGTCTAGATTCTAGAGTGACTTGTAATTCTAGAGGGGTCCCCAGCCCATTCCAGAAGAAGGCTTATCTCTAAAAGACAGACCTCTGTTTATCCAAATCTTAACATTATAACTGGAGCCAATTAGAGTGGTGTCTCAATTTTCTCTCCCCCTAAAATCAAGGAGCACTTTTGCCCTCTTGTTACTTAGACTTTCCTTTTCCTATCACAATCTCAGGGATTCTGCCCAAAAATGAAGGTGCAAAACTTGGTTTACCTCCTCCCCTTCCCCAAGGTATGGGCTTTATAAAAGGTTTTGCTTGTTAAAAGTTAGCTTTCCGAGCTGAGGACTCTCTCTCTCTCTCTTTCATTCTCTCTCTCTCCTTTTTTTTCTTCCTCTAAAGCCCATTGCATAACAATCTCCTGCTTTAACCTTTTGCCAAATCCTACACTTCTCACTGCCAGGGGTTACTGTGCAAGTGTTTAAATAGGTAACATCTACCTTTGAACATCTATTGCAATAGGTTCAAAGGTTCCAGGATAGCTGGTTAGCTACTCTCAATACGATACACATTGGCTTCAGGTGTGGTCCCGACTCCAGCACTAAGGAAAAGGCAGAGGCTCCTGAATGTGGTGCTGAACCGGCACAGACAGCTGTGAGGGGCACATTTCCTGGAACCCGGAAGTGAGCAGACTCTTACAAGGTAAAAACGGCAATAATGCTACCCGCTCTATAGCTTGTATGATATGGGATAGTAGAGATGGGGGTGACAGGGGAGAAGAAGGTTGGGCATGTGCCTATTCTCAGCCTAAGGCTCTTTACAACATGAAATAGCATTTGTTTGCGTAGTGATATTAGCTGACCTGCAAGGGAGGCAAAAAAAAATCAGCTGCAAAAGGTGGGTGGAGACGCGGAAGGAATCTAAACTGCTAGCAGGAGATGGACTTGGAAGAGAGAGTGGTTGATTTCACTAAGTGCAAATAAAACAGACTTAAAAGCCTTAAGGGTTATAGCCAAAGCCAAGATGTGAGTCTCCTTCATCTTCCATTCTGAAATGTCTGTATGATTGGAAATGCCATCTGACAGCTGCTGCCCTTCCCATTCGGAAGTGAGCAGGGAAGGAAACCCTTAGCAGACTTGCTATCCAATGCTAGGGTCTGTACTAGATGTGTGATATACACTGGCTCATTACCTCCTGTAAGGTAAGGGGTATTATTCCCATTATCACAGGTAAATAATGTGCCTCTGGGCTCTTAAAGAGCACAGCCTGGGCTCCATAGCTAAGAGGCGGTGGGGCAAGAATCTGAGTCCCAATCGGTACGCTGACTGATGCAGAATTCTTGAGTGCTGTGAAGACTGTCCATCGTTCCCTCAAAATTCGGCAGTGTCCCTGGTGTGTGTAGGATTGAACAAGGATGCACCTCCAGGTGCTAGAGCTTTAGAACCACCCTGACTCTTCCAAACTTGACAGCGTTTGGTCCTGAAGGAAACCATCTTCTCCTGGCCCTAAGCTCTTCATCTGGTTGGTAAAAGAAGATAGCACCCAGGGAAAAGCCCAGCAGCATGAGAATGGCTGAGACTCAACACCCACTCTGCCATCCTCTGCTCTTCACTGGAGGGAGCTGCCCCTGGGGAAATGAGTTCGGAAACTTAGCAAAGACAAATGTTCCTCCAGCCAAGAGATGAACCCAAAGATGGAAAGGCGGGCGGGGGAGGGGCACCCTCATCCTAACCTACTTCAGCCTTCTTCCATGTCTAAAGTGGGATCCCGAGGGGTCAAGGGATCAGCTCTTATGTTCCCTGAGACTGAGATATAGCTTACTCTGGTTTTTATCATTGGAGGCTTTGAGGAACTCCTCTGTGTAGAGAAGGAATCCTAATACATCTCTAGTGAAGACCTGAGCTCTTGTTGGATTTACGTTGCGCCTTCTTAAAGGGACTGAGGCTAGGGAAAGTGCTGCTTAATTCTGGGGTGTCTCAGATGGTGGGGAGAGGTGGGGTTGGGAAGAGGTAGGAGAATTCATTTTTTCTGCCTTCAAATCTGAGACTAGAAACTCCCATGCCCTTCTGAGGCCACAGCCATAGGTGAATCCGATGAGACTACTATGGGTCCTGATGCCCTGTCCTCAAGACCCTTTCAAGGTGTCTTCACATTCAAAGCAATTTTTATAATAATTGTTATTGTTTAGTCACTAAATTATGTCCAACTCTTTTTCAACCCCATGGACTATAGCCCACCAGTATCCTCTGTCCTTGGGATTTCCCAGGCAAGAATACTAGAATGAGTTGCCATTTCCTCCTCCAGGGGATCTTCCCAACCTAGGAATCCAACCTGTGTCTCCTGCATTGCAGGCAGATTCTTTACCAGTGAGCCACCAGGGAAGCCCCTTTTATAATAATATCAAGAAGTAGTTTGCCTTTTCACTGTCGCTGTCTCATGAGTGCACAGTGAAGTTTTTCAGAGGCTCCTGCGAGATGCAGGATCAGTCTGACAGCTAATGTGGCATATGTGCTTGTGGATTCCTGATTTTACAATTTCTCAGATCTCATCTGGGAGGTGAGGGTGCCAGCAGCAGACATTTTTAATTAAACATTGGAGTTCTGAAGAGGATGTGTCAGAGGAAACAAATAAACTCTCCATGGCTGTCCCTGAGGTTCCTGACATGCTCGTCTTGCTGGCTTTTTCCGCACAGCTCCAGGATCTGAGGCAGGCAAGCAGGGACTGGGGAGAGGCGACAGTGTGCATGGCTGGCCAGCAGAGCTGGCCTCCAGGTTTCCCCACGGTCCTGGGAAGGATGTGAGGGCCGAGGTGCCCTGTGGTTGGACCACATTGTCCCGGGAATCCAGCAGCGGTCTCACCTTTCTGACAGGGGTGGTCTGCGAGGGGCACCTCCATCATCTCCGTCTGGTTCTCCCTCGTCAGGCAGACAGAGCGTGAGTTCTGTGAGTGCAGGCTGGCTGCTTTATCAGCCCTCATGGACTGCCAGTAAAGGCTCTGAAACCCAGCCAGGGGAGCTTTGGCGGCTTTTCTCCTTCTGATCAGAACACTTCCACTTTCTGTTGTGAAAGAAAAACCAGGAAGTGAGGTCCCCGAGCACGTTAGAAGCCCGCGGTAGCCTGACTCCTGGCTCAGGGCAGCTCAGACTCGGGGCTGACGGCTTGGAACCAGAGATCCTCAGCCTGCAGGGATGCTCTGAAGCCCCCCTGACCCTGGAGGAGCTGGGGTGAGGGGTGAGGACTCACGGGACTCAGAACCAGGAGGCTCCATTCCCTGGGAGCACCAAGAGATGTGGTCCCTTCACAGGGTAAGGGGGAAGCTGGAGGTGTATTTAGCAAGGGGTCTTGTGGGTGTGGGGGCAGAAGCCTGGGGGGGCATCCTGACCCCCAGCTCTGGAGAGCTCAGAACTTCCTGTTCCAAGCACGTGTTGGCACTTGCTTTCTCTGCGGTCTCTGAAGGACTTTTTAAACCCTCTTCATCAGGAAGGTCAAGGGGGAGAAGGAATTTGGAGCAGGAATTGGTTTTCTTTTCTCCTGCCTCTCTTGGGAAAGGGAACCACACCCCAGACCCCTTTTTGAGGGCCTGAGGCTCTGCCTATAGCTCGTCTGGGCTTTACTGGGAGGGGAGAAGGGCACTACTGAGTCATGTTTGACTCTTTGTGACCCCATAGCATGCCAGGTCCCTCAGTCCCTGGAACTTCCCAGGTAAGAATGCTGGAGTGGTTGTCATTTCCTTCTCCAAGGGATCTTCCCGACCTAGGGATCTGGGCTGGAGGGTACCCTCGATTTTCCTGATAGATTTTGAGTCCTTCCAAGGGGAAGATCTGCTAGATGTATGACAGATGGAATGAATGCTTTCTGGATGAAGCTGGGTCTGTTTTAAGGGGTAGGGCCACAAGTTGGCCTTCAAGGGGTGAGTGTTGGGAAGGGATTCCATGATTGGGGCTTACTCCCTTCTGTGGGTATCCGTCTTTTTGGTGATTTGAAAAGCAGGATTGAATCTAAACTCTGATTTATAGGTAATTTGTAGTCTTCAAAAGTAATAGAATTAAGCTAAATTTAATTTAATTTAAAAATAAAAGATTGATTCAGTTAAAAACTTTTAAAAAGGACTTATTGGTTTTGGTGATACTGCCCTCTATATTACAGCATGGGAATTACTTCATGGTTGTTCCCTCCAGTTGATAAATATCTGAGGTTGAACACTGACGTGTCTTGGAAGAGATGTATAATATCTTGTAAATATCACTTATGCAGTTGGCACAAAAAAAGGAACAAAACTAGAAATAAAACAAGAGTCACAAATAATTATAGAACAGACAGGCAATACAGCTAAGTAAAGCAGATGATACGAAATAAGATGCAGGTCGTGTGGGGAAGTCTAACAGAATGCAAGGCAGGCACATCCCAGATAAACATAGTCCAATTCAATCCCTAGGTCAGGAAGATCTCCCGGAGAAGGAAATGGCCACCCACTCCAGTATTCTTGCCTGTAAAATCCCATGGATGGAGGAGCCTAGTAGGCTACACTCCATGGGGTGGCAAAGAGTCAAACATTACTGAGCAACTTCACTCACTCAATGTAACATTGTTTTTGGTTTTTGTTTTTTCTAAACATTATCCAGACCAAACAGGATGCTTCAGCCAAGTGTATTTGTTGAGGTCCTGACCTAAAATAACCTTTTCTCCAAGTCATATTCTAACTCTCTGGGGGCAATGACGCCTAAAATAATATCAGTGTATCATTGAATGCCTAAATGCTAAACATGTAGTGGGGGCTCCAGATATGAGAAGTAGGCTGGAGGTTAGGGAAGGAGAAAGTATGTGGAAACGAAGCAGGAGAGGGAATAGGAAGCCAGTTAAGCGCCAGATCATCATGGGTACTCTGACATTAACTAAGACAATATTAGGAGATAGGTGGTGAAGAGAGTAGGCTCAGAGAGGTGAAGCCAGTTGTCAACTGGAATTGAAGCTACAGTCCGTGTGATGCTAAAAGACATGTTCCATCCACCTCTGTGTAGAGTTAGCCTTACTTTGCATTTCCTAGATAGTTTCATTTGTAAAAAGATTCTTATGTATGGTGACCTAGGTGGTAGGTAGGTAGGTAGATAGGTAGATATTGACTTCATATATCTATGAGAGACTTTTTAGGTTGATATTTTTCTAGAATGCAAATAATACAGCTATCATTCATTGACTATTTACTGTGGGGGCAGTGCTGTGTTTACTGTTTTATGGGGCTTTCATCTCTTGATCTTCAAAAACAGTCCTATGATAGGTAGGTATGGTTTTTTGTAGATGGGGAAACCAAGACTGGGAAACAAACTGGATACAGTATGAAAAGACTGGAGTGGAATCTGGCTCATTTAGTTCTGAGGGCAAACTCTGTCTCCATTTCTGACGAGTCTAGTTTAGTGCATGGACCTAAGAATAACAAACTAGGAGAAATTTCTTTTTTGCAAATCCTCCCACTTCACCTCCATGGAAATTGAAAGCAGATCGATCAGTGGTTGCCAGGGATGGGGAGGAAAGAAGAGTAACTGCTTAATGGGGAGAGGATTTCCTTTGGGGATGACGAAAGTGTTTTGAATGTAAATAGAGGTGGTTGTACAACATTATGAATGTACTAAGTGCCCACTGAATTTTTACCTTTAAGTGGTTCATTTTATGAAGTTACATGATTGTGAAAGTGAAGTTGCTCAGTCGTATCCGACTCTTTGCGACCCTGTGGACTGTAGCCTACCAGGCTCCTCCGTCCATGGGATTCTCCAGGGAAGAATACTGGAGTGGGTTGCCATTCCCTTCTCCAGGGGATCTTCCCAACCTAGGGATCAAAGCTGGGTCTCCCACATTGCGGGCAGATGCTTTAACCTCTGAGCCACCTCCCTCCCTCCCGCGCCCCCCGCCCCCGCCCACCCAAAAAAAAAAAAAAACACAAAAAACTCCCACTTCTTGGCAGGTGAATTCCTAAACCAGGATTTGGAGATTTTTCAGAAACCAGGAATGTGATTTCTGTTTATGTCTGTCTCATATGCCTGGCCAGCAGATGAACTGACTCCCATCTGATATGTGACCTCAGGTGACCCATGTCTGGACACATCCTGCCAGGGTGACGTGTCTCCAGCAGCCTTGAGATCAGCCATCACTTTTACTCTCACTGCACCCTGCTGTAAACATATCCTGGTCTATTTCTTCCCCCGTATAACTGTGCATCCTGAGATCAGAAATGCACTTCTCATTCCTCCCCTGGCACAGAGCCTGGTATTTCCCAGGCTCTTAATTCATGTCATTAAGATAAATAAGAACTTTGGAGCTCAGAAGTTTAGGCAGCCCTTGGACTGCTGTTGCCAGGCCATGGTACCCACCCTCTGTTGGGGAATTGGTCGTAGATCTCTGGGTCTGTCCATGGGCCATTCTACTCTAAGAGGTTGAGGTGGCTGTGGGAGGATGCAGGAGTTTCACAAGGTTGAGGGAGACCACATGGTCTCCAATTAGAAATCCTCTGTTTGAATGCAAATGAGGAGATGGTAAGACATTTGCATATAAGTCGAAGGGCAGTTACAGTACAAAGTCCACAACCAACTTTTCACTTTGGGGACATCTCAAAATAGAACATCTGATACTGACAAGGAGTTGGAAGTCAAGGTAAGTGGAAGAGGGAAAAAGGAAGCCTATCTTCACTGAGGGCTTCCCATGTGCCAGACAGTGTACTGGAAGGTTCATCCAAAGCAAGGATATTAACCTGCCCCTTCTGGAGTGCAATGGAGGGAAACTGATGCTCAGTGACATTAAGTAACTGTCAAACTAGGAGAAATCAAACAGGGCCACCTATCTGGTAGATGGTAGTGCTGATACTCAGGTACCTGGAAAGGATAGGGCCTTAAAAGTTCACCACTGGAGCTGAGACTTTGGGGAATAAAGCTTGTTGTTTGCACATTGCCTTTTCATACTGTTCGTGGGGTTCTCAAGGCAAGAATGCTGAAGTGGTTTGCCATTCCATTCACCAGCAGACCATGTTTTGTCAGAACTCTCCACCATGACCCGTCTGTCTTGGGTGACCCTACATGGCTTGGCTCATAATTTCATTGAGTTAGGCCAGGCTGTGGTCCATGTGATCAGTTTGGTTAGTTTTTCTGTGATTGTGACTTTCTTTCTGTCTGCCCTCTGACGGATGAGAATAAGAGGCTTGTGCAAGCTTCTTGATGGGAGGGACTGGCTGTGGGGAAAACTGGGTCTTGTTCTGGTGGGCAAGGACAGACTTGGTACGTTTTTAATCCAATTATCTGCTGCTGGGTGAAGTTGTGTTCCCTCCCTGTGGTGTGGCCTGAGGCCACTTGCGCATTGAGTCTGGTGAGCCCTGACCTTTGGCCCAACCAATAGTGTGAAGACTAATTCTGCAAAGAGGCCTCTTTCCCAACCTCTTGCATCAGCCTGTCTTTATCCTGGCCTGCAGTGACTTAGTCCTAGCACTTTGTCAAGCCTATCTATGTACAGGCTCTTATCAATTCCAGTGGATGGTACTGGCTCTGCTGACTTCCATGCTCTCATAATTCACTTGGTCAGCAATAAGCTTGGAAGGCCTTTGGAAATGTTTAATGAAGCAAGGCTTTCCTTGGGGTTGGGCTGCTGGACTGTGACTTGTTGGAAGTGCAGTAGTAGATCAAAGCTGACTGAGTTTATCTGAGATCCAGTGGGATTTGTCACCGCCTG